CTCCGCAGCTCTGGCCAGGTAGCACCGTGTCTGCCGCAGCCTGGCGCGAAGAGCTGTGCAGCGGTCATTGGCGACGCCCCGCGAGGCCACGACATTCTTGTACGCGTGTGCTTTTTGCCCTCGGATTTGTCTCTCTCTGCGTGGGTCGGGGGGCGGCCCACGTGGCACGGAGAGGCCGTTTTTCCCCACCCGCGTCGCACCCGCGTCTCACTCACCTCCCTTGCGGGCTCGCAAAGCGTGGCAGGCGTGGCATATTCTCGACACCATAAGGGGTGCGCAGGGGGGGGTCTCTGAGCGCGGCCGATATCCGTTCCAGTCGTCCAGGGCATAGCAGGCGTGGCACTTTCTCGACACCACAGGGGGTGCGTAGGTGGTGGTCTCCGAGCGCGGGCGCTGTCCGAGCCAATCGTCCAGGCCATAGCAGGCGTGGCATATTCTCGACGCCACAGGGGGTGCGCAGGGCGTGGTTTCTGAGCGCGGCCGCTGTTCAATCCGGTCGTTCAGGGCGTAGCAGGCGTGTAATTTTCTCGACGCCACAGGGGGTGCGCAGGGGGTGCTGTCTGAGCGTGACCGCTACCCGAGCCAGTCGTCCAGGGCGTAGCAGGCGTGGCGCTTCCTCCACACCATGTGGGGTGCGCAGGGCGTGGTCTCTGAGCGCGGCCGCTATCCGAGCCAGTCGTCCAGGGCGTAGCAGGCGTGGCGCTTCCTCCACACCGTGTGGGGTGCGCAGGGCTTGGTCTCTGAGCGCGGCCGATATCCGAGCCGGTCGTCCAGGGCCTAGCAGGCGTGACAGAATCTCGACACCATAGGGGGGGGGCGCATGGCGTGGTCTCTGAGCGCGGTCGCTATCCGAGCCGGTCGTCCAGGGCATAGCAGGCGTTGCACTTTCTCGACGCCGTAGGGGGTGCGCAGGGGGTGCTCTCTGATCGCGACCGCTGTCTGAGCCGGTCCTCCAGGGCATAGGAGGCGTGGCATCTTCTCTACGCCATAGAGGGGTGCGCAGGGCGTGGTCTCTGAGCGCGGCGGCTATCTGAGCCAGTCGTCCAAGGCGTAGCAGGCGTGCTATTTTCTCTACGCCATAGAAGGGTGCGCCGGGCGTGGTCTCTGAGCGCGGCGGCTATCCGCGCCAGTCGTCCAGGGCGTAGCAGGCATGACAGAGTCTCGACACTATAGGGGGGGCACAGGGCGTGGTCTCTGAGCGGCCGCTATCCGAGACGGTCGTCGAGGGCATAGCAGGCGCTGCACTTTCTCTACACCGTAGAGGGGTTGCGGGTCGTGGTTTCTGAGCGCGGCCGCTGTTCAATCCGGTCGTTCAGGGCGTAGCAGGCGTGTCATTTTCTCGACGCCACAGGGGGTGCGCAACGCGTGGTCTCTGAGCGCGGCCGCTATCTGAGCCGGTCGTCCAGGGCGTAGCAGGTGTGGCATTTTCTCGACACCAGAAGGGGTGCGCAGGGGGTGGTCCCTGAGCGCGACCGCTACCCGAGCCGGTCGTCCAGGGCGTTGCGGGTGTGGCATTTTTCTCGACACCATAGGGGGTGCGTAGGTGGTGGTCTCCGAGCGCGGCCGCCATCCGAGCCGGTCTTCCAGGGTTTTGCGTAGGGGGCAGTTTTGGCTCGAGCAGCAGGCTCTTGCTCTGGCCGCCAAGGGTGATCATGGACACGGTGATTGCCCGTCATGGCGCCCAGAGGTGCCATGTCCGCGCTGCCGCCTCTGTGCAAGCAGCTCGAGAACTCAATGCTAGAGATAGGTGCCGAGGTTAGTTTGGATGGTTTTCGTACATATGTTGACAGGCATGGGAACGGCCTGATACATTACACAATTAATGCTTACCAGCGACAGGCTCTAAACTGGACGTTGTCAGAGGCTTTTCGCCGAATGTTGCGTTCCTTTGCATATTCTTTCTTTCAGATATGATCAGAGGCTTTCCGCCGAAAATCGTGCACCATAATGTTCGTTGCCTCGTGGGCGCCGCAGATCACTGTCCATGTGTATTGAACAAAAATATTGAACACAAGCCAGCACTTGTCCACTCTCCTCCTTCTTCTCCTCGTGACTGGCGTCATCAACGGCATCAGCGGGGCAACGGCCACCAACATCATTCTCACATGCTTCACTTCAGCTCTCATCACTCCAGCCATAATATAAGTATGTGGGCATCCTCGGTAGCGTAATTTGTTTCCGGAGTTGAATTGGCGAGATCAAAACACACGACGAATTTTTGTATGGCTCAGCCCGGAACGAACTACGGCACCGCAGGCAAAGGGTTCATTTTGCCTGGGCCTTGTGGACCGGGAGCGCCATTGAACCCATGGCTGCGGACGACACGTGTTCGCACAATGGTTGCCTTCTCGCGTCCACAGCCGGCGTGCAAGCTACAAATGCACACCATTTCAAGCAAAGAGGCAATTGGAAGGAATGTTGTGTCTAGCGCGTGGTACTTCAGTGGACCATGATTCGCGCTGGGCGCGCCCGCCACCGTTCATCGCGGACGCGGGGGACAAACACTACAGTAGCATGTGGGGGATTCGGTGACATGAAATAAACGGTTTGCCCAAAAGTGCGACGAGCCTCAAGCAGCAAGCAAGCAAACAATTTTCATTTGTTTATTCGTTGTTTTGCCGATATGCGCGGGCCTTCGCACCCCCTTTTTCCCCCCCTTATGGAGTAGATCTCGGTTGTTTTTGAGCGCCTGTTTCGAGCATGTGGAGTTCCCCCAGAGGACGCACTGCTTCAAACAGTCGCATGGAGCAGAGGTCTGGAGCGATACCCTCCCCCCTCTTTCCCCCCCCTTCCGCCCAATGTCGAGACGCCCGAAAAAAAAGAAAACGCTCACCAAGCAAGAGGACGAGGAGGAAGTGGAGGAATAATAGGAGGAGGAGGGAGGAGGAGGAAGAGGAAGAGGAGGACGATGAGGAAACGGAGGAGGAAGAGGATGCAGAGGAGGAAGAGGATGAGGACGAGGAGGAGGAAGAGGACGACGAGGAGGAAACGGAGGAGGAGGAGGAGGAGGAGGAAAAGGAGGGGGAGGAACAGCAGGCAAGCAAGCAGGCAAGCAAGCAAGCAAGCAAGCTGCCTGTGTGGTGGTCTGCTCGTGGCCTGCTGCGCGGGTCGGGGGCGAGCCCGCTCGTGGCCACGGCCCGCGGCGGCCAGCAAGCGTTATGTCGGGCCTGTCCCTCTTACAGGGGGACTTTCGACGAAAAATCAAAGATACCCCCAACATAGTCCCAAACTACCCCCAAAATAGTCCCCAAATAGTTCCAAAATGGTCACAAACTAATCTGGGGACTTGGCATCGCTCGGACGTGTGCATTTTTCCTTCGGCGAGGACCATCGAGGAGAATCCTTGATCATTTGGCGACAAAACCACGCGCGAAACCGAAACAAACATGGGGAATGGACGTCCGAGCGATGGCGAGGGGGTTTTCGACGAAAAATCAAACATACCCCCAAAATGGTCCCAAAATAGTCTGGGTATTATTTTTTGTGTATTTTCCCATCTATTTGGGGTATTTGTGGGATCCCAAGTCCCCCTACAGGGGGACTTGGCATCGCTCGGACGTGTGCATTTTTCCTTCGACGAGGACCATCGAGGAGCATCCTTGATCATTCGGCGAGAAAACCATGCACGAAACCGAAAAAAGGCACAGCTAATGGACGTCCGAGCGATGGCGAGGGGATTTTCGACGAAACATCAAACATACAACCAAAATAGTCCCAAAATAGTATGGGGATTATTTTTTGCGCATGCTTCAATCTATTTGGGATATTTGTGGGGTACTTTCGTCGAAAATCCCCCTGTAAGGGGACAGGCCCGACTCAGAGCAAGCGAGGCGACGACCTGCGGCGACGACGTGCGGCGCCGCCTTCGCCGCGGGCCGTGGTTCGCTGCCCCGCCGCCCCCCGCAGGGCTCCTTTCGACTCCTCCGACCCGATTGGCCTCGATGTCGATGTGGCTCCCGATGCCGAGGCGGCTCGGCTTGGGATGCCGACTTCTCAATGGGAGGCCCGCCGGCCCGCCGAGGTCCGCCCCTCGCAGGACTCGTCTCGACCCCTCCGACCCGATTGGACTCGATGTCGATGGCTTCCGATGCCCCTGGGATGCCGACTTCCTCATAGGAGGCCCACTGGCCTGCCGAGGATTCGGCTTCTCCCGACTCGGCCGCCGAGTTCCGCCCATCCGATTCGTGCCGCTTGCCGAGTCGACTTCTGTCGGTTCGATTCTGGGCTCTCCTGCCCTCGCGGCGATACGTCCCCCCCCCTAGTGTTAAGTCGGGCCTATCTCTCCACAGGAAGAATACGCAAGAATACTCAACAACGAGTCTGGAGTCGACTTTCCGACTACTTTTGTCCATTTTGGAGTATGGTTTGTCTACTTGTTTTAGTTATTGTTCCAGACTCCGCTTGTAGGAGGAAATGCCCGACCTAACCTTAGTAGGCCCTGGAAACGACGGGCCGTTCTTTAGCGGTTCCGTTTGGCCGTTGCACGTTGCGTTTCCGTTTTTGTTGTTGGGCCCGTCGCAAGTTTCTTGTCTGGTTCCTGTTATGGTTCTGACCCCGGAGCCGTTTTTGCTCGTTGCGTTTGGTCGCCGTTGTTGTTTTCAGCCTCTTCTCTTTTTTCCAGAGGTTCCTTTCCGAAAACAGTAACAACAAAGCCTTGTCGGTTCCCCGGGGCCCATTAAATAGGGGGCCACGTGCGAACCCTGATCCCACCCCCCACGATCTCTGAGAAGGAGAGCGGGGTTCCCTTCGCTCGGGAGCTCCCGAGCGAAGTGGACCCCACCCTCCCCCTCAGAAATCGTGGGGGGTGGGGGCAGGGTTCGCGTGTGGCCCCCTATTAACTCGGCATCGCTCGGACGTGTGCATTTTTCTGTCGGCGAGGACCATCGAGGAGCATCCTTGATCATTTGGCGAAAAAACCACGCACGAAACCGGAAAAAGCACAGGAATTGGACGGCCGAGCGATGGCCAGTTCAAGCGCCCCCCCCCCCCCCCCCGCAGAGGCGAAGACGGCGCTCCGCCAGACCCTGGTCACGAGGCGGCTCGCCCGAGGCCGCGCGGGTGGGTCGTCGGGAGCCTTGGGACGGGGGTCAATGCAAACGGGGGTCAGCCAGGGCACCAGATCCTGCAGGATGCTGCGAAGACCCCCTCTGGCTGACCCGGGTTCGCGAGCCGCTCGTGGCCGCGAGGCGGCCGCGCCTGGCTGACCCGGGTTGGCGAAGATCTGCGTTGCAGTTTTTTTTTTGTTCCTGCACTGCAGTTTTTGGTTCCCTGCTGACCCGGGTCTGGATTGACCCGGGTCAGAAGATCCCCGAGGTCGTCCAAGTTTCTTGGAGGCTCGTGCCCTGGGCAGTCTCGCTTGGGCCAGGGGCCGCTGGAGAGACTCCAAGCAGTGGCGAAGCGCCCCGGCTCGCCTGTATAGCCCCACCAAGCAGTGTTCTAAGAACCTTTGGTGGTTCCAGCGAGATGTTCTCAGAACAGTTCTGGCTGGGACTGTCTCGTTTTGACACATCGGGTTCATGTTCTAAGAACATTGTGTTTTTTTCTTAGAACATTGTTGGGTTCTAAGAACATGTCGTGGTATGACTATAGGAATGCCGGGACGGTCAGTCCCTGCTCAAGAGACTGGGTCCCCGTGTCATCGCCTTCCTTTGCAGTGACGGTGGCCTCCTGTTCTTGTGGCCACGTGAGGATCAGGAGGGGCCCCAGGTTGAACTTGCACTGTTGGAGGCGCCTCGTCTGGAGGAATCCGCCGAATATGCAGGTCCTGGCCAAAGCAAAAAGAGACCCCCTCGAGTCCTGATCAAGAACTGCGACGGGAGGTTTTTCCCCATTTTCGGCATTTGGGGGCCCTTCCCAGACCTCGGGGCCGTCAACAAAAAGGCTCGGGATGAAAGACCGGTCCCAGGGAATGATATACCGGGGCACCACGGCGTGGCGTCGCCTCCAGCGCCGCCCATGACACGCTCCGCGCGCGGGGGTCGGGCATCCAGCGCCGAACCAAGAATTCTACGCGGAGCTCCGAAAGGTTATGCTTATGTGTTCGTTTTCTTCCTCCAGGCATGCTCGCGTTGTGAGGAAAGACATGTCAGGTTTGAGTAGGTGTTCGGCCTTGCCGGGGCCATCAAGCTTGTTGATGCATGCCTTGGGACCCGCACAGCGTCGGGTCATAACTACAGTCGAGGCGGATTGGTAGGGCGACCCTGCCAAATCAAGGATGGCAATGTGGCCTCGGGAGGGTCTTTTGTCCTCTCGCGTGTCCTCTCCAATCAACCCCGACTGTATTGAAGCTTGTTCGAGCATGCCTTGGGACCCGCACCGAGTCGGGTCAGAACTACAGCAACCTCCTCACCAGAGGACTCCTGCCACGGCGTGGGCTGGACAGGCCCATCCTTGGCAGCAGCACGAGGGATCTGGGAGGTGGGGGGGCAGGACTGATGGGCAAATTCTCCACTACCACTAACATATGTAGGACGGGGGAGAAGGAAGGATGAGGAGGTCCTCCTCCTCCTTCTCATCCTCCTTCTCCTCTCCTCCTCCTTTCCCTCCTCCCCCCTCTCTTACAGATGGATGGTAGAGTTGGTGGAAAATCGGCCCATCAAGGACGGGGGTCGGGTGGGCAGGGCGCTCTCTCTGATCCCGCTTCCTTGCCGCTTCCAGGGTGATCGACCCAGCGAAAGGGTGTGGCAACGGAGGCGGGGGGGCAGGACGGGGGCCGCTGGGTGGGCAGGCCGTTCTCTCTGTGATCCCGGTTGCCTGCCGATTTTAGAGTCATCGACCCAGCAACAGGGCGTGACAACGCCACATCTATCCCCTTTTGGCAGAGATATCTCGAGGCATCTCCTCCCCATCCTCCTTCCTCCTGGCCCCTCCGCCCCATTCCTCCTCTGCGCCCACCCGCTCCCTCCGCCGCCCCACTCACCCATTCACCCCTCCGAGACCATCCTCTCGTCACCCCTTCCAGGACATCTTCACGATATGGGCGATTTTCCAGACCTGGTCTGATCGAGTTCGGGCCTGTGTTGTGGCCAGCTGCGGCTTTCCTGTTTCGTCTCGCCTGAGCCTCTCCATGCGTCCATGCGTCCTTGGCAGTGGCATGCTTGCATCGTTGATCGTTCTGTATCTGCCTCCCCCTCTGGGAGGCGACGCCTATTTGTTCCACGGCACCAACCCGTCTTCGGCCATGAGTATTATGAAGACCGGCTTCGTGCTGGACGGTTGCGCTCACCCTTCTCCATGTCAGGGGGGGCGTTCTTCCTCCTTTCTTTCCGCCTCCTCCTCCTCCTCCTCCTCCTCCTCCTCCTCCCCCTCTTCCTTCTCCTCTTCCTCCTCCTCCTCCTCCTCCTCCTCTTCCTCCTCTTCCTCCTCTTCCTCCACGCGCACGTTCGACTGTTCGGCGTGTCCGGAGGTTGCTATTAGATGTTGGTGCGGGTCTTGGTGGTTTATTTTTTTTGCACCCCAGGAAGTGTGCGGGAGGGCTTCGCAGGGACCCCCCAATTAATCCCAGCGGAACCGAGTCCGCAGATCGGGAAGCACGGCAGGCCCCCCCCGCGGGAGAGAACCATGGGAAATCAGCGCGCCCAAGATCGACCACGCGAGCGTGCCCAAAGTGTGGTGCCCCACGGAGGCCTCTGGGGGGTGCTCTTGGGGTGCTACTGGGGCCTGCCCTGGTGCGCCCAGAGCCTTCTTGGGCTTTCCGAAGGCCGAAGAGGCGAATCGTGCCCGAACCACTGTATGATTCAGCAGGTTCTGCATCCTCCTCCAACCTCTTCTTCTCCCTCCCCCATCCTCCCTCCTCCTCCTCCTCCTTCTCCTCCTCCTCCTTCTCCTCCTCCTCCTCCTCCTCGTCCTCGTCCTCCTCCTCCTCCTCCTCCTCCTCCTCCTCCTGTCGAGAGCCTCTTCAGGTTATCTTCAGGCCTCACCGGGCCGACTTGGAGCTTCCTGAGCGCTCCTGCGGCCTTTTTGGGGGTCTCATTGAGTCTTCGTGGTCCCCCTTGGGGCTGTCTTGGGGCTCTACTGGGCCGTCTGGAGCCCCTTTCGTGGCTGTCATGGGGCATCTTGAGGCCCATTTGCGCCGACTTGGTGCCTTCTTGATGCCCCACTGGGGTCTCGTAGGCCGTTTCGGGGTCGATTTGGGTGGCGTCCAGTGCTCTTGGGCCGTGAGAAGGCCAGACTACGAAAGTCACGCCACACTACGGACAATCAGTGTTGTCGCTTTGGCGGAGACCTCTTGCGGGACGTCTCGGAGTGTTGGGCAATATTACGCCTTATATGATTGGACTTCGCCACGTTGAAGCCGTATGGATCTGTCTTCGCGCCATGTTGGGAGGGGTCGATCAGTCTTCCCGCCATGTTGGGAGCGGTCGGGATCGGCCAGGACCGCCCCAGGGACCGCCCCAAGAAGCGGGCGCCCAGCTTGTAGGACGAAGCGCCCCCTCTCGCTCCTCATCCTTGGTGCTTCAGTCTTGCAGATGTGTCCTTCTCTTGCTGTCCCGAACGACCAGGAACACTCTGGCTCCCAGGATCGCTGCACGCTGGGTGCCCGACGTACTGAGCCCACAGAACGGGAGTACCGGCAGGCCCGCTCAAAGGGAAACCAACGCGCAAATCTCCCATGCACGGGGAACCTGGCCCCAGGGGCCCCCGGTCCGCAGTACACCATGTGGGCACCTGAACAACCCTAAGTTCCCCCTCCCCCCGCTCAGGGCCTCCTTGGGGTCTCCCCGGAGCCTCCCGGGAGCTTCCCTGGCCCCCCCCCCTCCCCAGAGGTTCCGGGTAGGTTCCAAATAGGTTGCAGCTCCCAGTTCTCGCTCTCCTCTGTTTCTCTCTTGCGTCTCCTGATACGTCCGTCTCAGCCCTGTGCAGTCACGTCCTCCTGCTCCTCCCCCTCCCCCTCCCCCTCCTCCCCCTCCTCCTCCTCCTCCTCCTCCTCCTCCTCCTCCTCCTCCTCCTCCTCCTCATCGTCATCGTCCTTGCTCTGACCCTCTCTTCTCACTCCCTCTTCCTCCTTTTCTCCTCGCCCGCCCAACTCGCCCCTCCTCTCTCCATCTCCCCCTTCATCTCCTCCCTCCTCTCATGGTTCCTCATCTCTCCCACCCCCTGCCGTGATTCCACACCCTCCAGCTTCTCCCCTCGCGCAGTCTTACCTGTTGGGGAGTGCGGTGGCAAGGGACGGCAACGGAGTTCACATGTGATTCCCCTGGGTTTCTTTTGTGCCCCAACATCGGCGACGGCTGACCCTCCGCGCGCCTTCCGCACTGAGGCCTGGGCGTCCTATTCGCGATCCACTACAGGCCTCGGAACAAATTAGCGAACACAAGCCACATTCATCCGTCAACGCCTCCCCCTCCCCCCAATGCTCAAAGTTGGCGGTGGGTCTGGTGAGATGCACTTCGACCGCAGTCTCCCCCGCGCGTGCCAACATTGAGTTTTGGGGGGGGGGAGTGTTCAGTAATTGTTTCCCTCTACCGTACCATTCGGGTTCGGCCTTTCTGTCGCGCTGCTCGTCCGGCGCTGCGACGGGCAGAACTCGGCCGCGGTGGCTTCGGCGCTCACGGCGACCAGTCTGTTCCAGGGCGGCCCCTCCCCCGCCACATGCCGGAAGCCCGACCCCAGGGGGTCTGGGGCCGCAGCGCACCAGGGGCCACCCGAGTATACGAAGTCCTCCCTCCTCCCTCCTCGGGAGCCTTGAGACGGGGGTCAGTGCAGACGGGGGTCAGCCAGGGCGCCAGATCCTGCAGGATCCTGCGAAGACCCCCTTTGGCTGACCCGGGTTAGCGAGCCGCTCGTGGCCGCGAGGCGGCCGCGCATATTGGCTGACCCGGGTTTGCGAGGACCTGCGTTGCAGTTTTTTGTTCCTGCATTGCAGTTTTTTGGTTTCCTGCTGACCCGGGTCTGATTGACCCGGGTTAGCAGATCCCCGAGGTCTGGGGCCGCAGCGCACCAGGGGCCACCGGAGTATACGAAGTCCTCCCTCCACCCCGGGGTCTCGACTGGTGCTTCCTGGGGCCACCCGGAGTTTCCGAGTGAGTTCCCTGGGGTCACATGCAGGCCAAGCAAGATGCCGGACGGCTCACGAGTGCTTTGTAAGACGGCCCAGAAGGCCCCCAAATGCGACCCAGGCTTGCTCGAAGAGGACTCCCGAGAGGGCCCAGCCGGCCCACTTCGCCCCATTCCCTGAGGACAACGGGCTTGTCTAGCAGATTCGATTTTAATGTTGACAACGCCTAAAACAGCCCGAGAGGCTTTCAAAATCGTCCCGAGACGGCCCACGAGGTCCCTGGGAGGATTCAAAAACGGCCCAAGAGGGCCCCGAGACGGCTTAAGTCGCGCCCAGGGCCGCCCGAGTGAACCCCAAGAGGAGCCCCAGAGGGGGATTTCGAACTCACACTTGGAGGCTTCGAGCCCGCGGGTACCCTGGAGACCCCTCGAGGGCCCCCCCACGAGGACCCTAGAGGCCCCCGAGAGACCCGAAAGAGACCCCACGAGGCCCCTCAGCGGCCCACGAGGTGCTCCAAAGCTGCCTCCAAGAAGTTGCCCAGATGCTCCCCGAAAGCCCCAACAAGGCGTTCAAGAGGTCTCAGACCGACAGCCCAGGCGCGGCGGCAGGGTGGGCCGAGGGCCGCTGGGAGGTGCACGCGTGGACGAGTGGCGCCGCGGCCCCTCCTATCTGCCATCCGTGTGCTTGTTTCTCGGGGGCGGACAGAACCCCCAACAGTGACACGTCGATTAGTGAATTGTCCGTTTCCGGTTCTCGAGAGGACGCCGTGGCTGTTATTTTTCAGGCTTGCGCCCGCCAGGTTTGGGCCTTTGGTCGTTCTCATTAAACCACGGCTTACTAAAGGGGGGTCTGTCCATCCCCGAGTTTCGTATTCAGAGGCTCCGCTTCTCCGTCTGCTCATGTCCATCCTTGCCGTTCTGCCCTCGTCTTCGTCGCCGTCATGCTCCTAGGCTCTTCTCCCCTTCTCTCGACCTCCAAGCCGCCCCCCTAGCCTTCTTCGTCGTCCTCCTGGAGACTTCCGTGCCCAGGAAAGGGCTGTTTACTGCAAGTTTTCGCGGCGTTTTCGGATTGGAGTCAGATTCGAAACCGTCGCCCGACCTTCGGCGTCTCACAGCGAGCTGGGATTCCGGAGAACCCGTGCACGCGCGCGCGCGAAGCGCGCCCGATGGCTTTAGCGTGCAAGTACTTGGGAGACAACCAATGATAGTTTCATACTGGCAAACGTCGGAAACACATGCGTCTTGGAGTCATCTTATGCGTCCTGTTGGCGTCCTCCAGGCGTCTCAGACGCCCTGGGACGCTCTGAGGATTGAGGATGGATGTTCAATGTGTTCTGCTTCTGGAGGTCCCCTTGATGCATCATTGTGCCGTCTCGGGGGCCCTTTTTCGCGTCATTTCGGCCCTCTTGCGGCCGGATTCGGCCTTCCTGGCCCCGTCTTGGTTGCCTTGGGGATCTGATGGAGCCGCTCTGCGGTGCTCGAGCCGTCTGGAGCCCCTCGGGGGATTGTGGTGGACGTCTGGAGTTCCGCTTGACTGCGGAGGCCGCCGTCGGGCAATGTTGGACGCCTCGTGAGGTCTCCAGGGCGTTCCGACGACCGAGACGGCGGGCACGTCCAAACTCGCACCAGCACCTGGGGACTGCCAGTGTGTTGGGCCTCTGTGAGGTCTCTAGGGGGTCTTGCGGAAATCCTCGGAGTTCGTCTGAGGAGCCCTTTGGGACGTCTGAAGGGCTCTGTGGGTCCGTCTTGCGAGCCTGTTCGGACGTCTCGATCCAACTTCGGCAGTGTGTGGCCCACCTTGGCCAGCAGAGCCATCTGGAGCCATCTTGGCACCATCTTGGAACCCAGGATAACCCAGAACTCAAGTGGAGCTCTTACCCTTATTTGCAATGTTTGCCATCGCCCAGCTGGTATGGATATGCGCGATAGGGCCCTTCATTTGTCCTTCCCCATTGCAACCTGATGGTGTCCTTGCTGTTCAACGACGTCAAGGCCATCGTTGTTCCGAGCTTCGCTCGCACGACGGAGGCGCGCCGCACGCGCATCCCCACCAGTCAATCCATCAGCAATCATGCAAGGGCAGGAGCATGCAGTGGCACCAAGAAGAGGGGGGAACTGGCCTATCACATTCGCATGTCTCACCTTCTCATAGCACTTAAGCTGAAGGACATCCTGAAAGGCGCCACGAAACTCCTGATCATAACACGCATAAGCATCAGCACGTCAGAGGAATAGGTGTGTACATATATGTATATATATATACATATATATATATATATATGTGTGCGTAGGTAGTGCTCTTTGGCCCATCCCGCCACACTGCGTCCCTCTATTTAGTTGTATGTAGATACATGTGCAAAGACATATATAGTTCTTTCTCTCCCTCGCCTGCCTCCTGGTAATTACTTGCTGCTTATTGCTGTCCTTCCCCCTTTCCGCTTTCGTTCCGCTGACGTCCTACTCGCACAGATTCCGACCTCTCCCCCATGCAGCATCTAATCATTCGTCTCCTCGTGTTCATCACCATCTTTCGTATCCCCCTCGGCTGCTCTATTTTTTATCTCGGCCTCCTCCTGTGCTTTCTGGCTCTCGGCCACAGCCTTCAGGACCACGCAGGGTCTGCCACCGGCACGATGTATGGCGCTGGGGTCTACATGGCGGAGTGCGCTTCGAAGTCTGGCATCCTCATCGTCCTCATCCTCCTCTTCCCAGAAGGGAGTAGAGGAGAGAAGTTGGAGGATGAGGAGGAGTAGGAGGGGTAGGAACGCGGCATCTCCGACCTTGGGTTCCAATGCCCGCCGAGGAGTAAGAGAAGAGGAAAGGGACGGGATGAGTAGGACGAAGGAGGAGGAGGGAAGAGGATTAGGAATTGAAAGGGGAGCGGGAGGGAGAGAAGCAGCAGCATGCCGAGGAGGATGGGAAGGAGGGGGAGGAAGTAAGCATGGTCATTTAGAGGTGGAGGGGGGATTGGATAAGGGAGCCAAGGGGGATGACTGGGAGGATAATGAGGGGGAAGGGCCGACAGTCTAGGAAGAGGAGTGGGATTAGGATGCAGTTGCGCGATGCCAGCGAGCGTTGATTGGTTCAGCACGTGTGGCAGTTCCACCCAGCCCCGAGCGCAGCGAAGTGCATCTGAATGGCGTTATTCACGGGGTCCGCGGGTGCGCTTGCTCAGGGCTTGATGCCATGCCTGCCCGAGCAGTACTTGCCTCCCCATGTGCCCTAGTCCTATTCTCTGCCCCGCGAAGGTCCGACGAGTACGGGCGGGACGACGGCGGGAACACGTGCCCCAGCCTTTCACTTTTCGGATTATTATTATTATTATCATCATTATTATAATAATAATAATTATTATTACTATTATTATTATTATTCATTATTCATTATTCATTTTTTATTTATGTATGATTATTGTTATTTGTATCATTATTCTCATTATTATTATTACTATTATTATACAGTCGGAGGTCCGCGCGGATGTCCTGGGTCGGCGCTGAACCCATCCGCGCGGTTCTCCGGGAGGGTCTGTTTATGCCGTTGTGTGGTCTTTTGGTTTTAAGTTGTTTCCTTGTCTGGCATTTCGCCAGCACCCTTTTCAGCTGTCGCGATTCGATCGGGCACCAGGGTTCCCCGCGCGTTTCCACACCCTTGAGGCTTCCAGAGTTCGATCGGACGGCAGCCGTCTTCGTCCCCTTCCTAATGCGTGACTGCTGAAGGGCGTCGCTTGTAGACGTGCTTACTCCCCTCCGACTCCTCCGGCATGTTGGTGTTGTTCGACTGACAGGACAGAGCTCCAGACCCGCCCCGCGCACCCTGCATACCGCGGCCGTCAGACCCCAAGGGTCCCCGGCGCTCCCTGGGGATGCCGCATCATCATCATCATCATCATCATCATCATCATCATCATCATCATCATCATCATCATCATCATCAGCATCAGCATCAGCATCATCATCATCATCATCAGGCCCCTTTTGAGCACCAACTGGCTCCAAAAGGGGCCCTCAGGGAGGGGGGGCCTTGTCTTCACCCCCCCATGTAGGGCCACCCCCCATGACCACCCGCCCGACCGCCGCGAGTTCTCGGGCGGGGATCCCTCGGAGCAGCGCGCGATCGTGCGGTCGGCCGTTCGGCCCCCTTGACTCCGCGCGCCGCTAACCCCCAGAGCGGGGGGTGCTGCGCGAGAGGCCGGGGGGGCCCCCCCGGGCGAGAGGGGCGGGGCACGTCCGCGAGGGCAGGGCGCGGCTCCTCTCGCAGCGGCTGCTTGTCTGGGAGCGAGTCGAGGAAGAGAAGGCCACAAACTTAGGTCGGGCGTGTCCCCCTTCAGGGGGAGTATTCAAAAATAGTCAGAAAATAGTCTTCGGACTATTTTGTTTAACTATTTTTGATCATTTTTGATTACCTTTTGTTTTTCATCTTCCGCTTACAATCCCCTGTTGGGGGACACGCCCGACCTAACAATGAACATAAACTTCTGGCGCTGCGCTCGGAGTTCTTGGCCCCGGCGGCGCCTCCGGCGCCGCCCCCGGCTCACTCCGCGCGCCAGGGAGGGGGGCCCGGCGCGGATCCAGGCAATCCGCGCGGAGAGCCCAAGGTTTATGTTCATGCCGTGTCTTCTTCTTCTTCTTCTAACCGAGGCCCGCCTCGGGCCACTCCCCCTCTGCCACCATTGGCGCACCCTGCGCCTGCTCAACTGCAGGCGAGGAGAGGCCATGAGTCGGGCCGGACGAAAGGGGGGGATTGGGAAAGGTGGAGTTACGAAATTTGCTGCATGCAGCTGGTTTGGGCCTAACCGAGGGGCCCATTCCTCGATACATAGCCACCTCCGGCGCCGGGAGGCGCCGGGAAAATCAGCTACGTGAGCTGAATCTCAGACCCCCCCTTTACTATCTTCCTTTTCGCCCGACCCTAATGAGGCAGCGCATGAGGAGTGGTACATCCTGCCATGTTCCCCCAGCAGGGCTCTGTCTGAGGCTTTCTTGTTTGTGTGTTGCAGGGCCGGTGGGCGCGGCACCTGGTGGCGCCAGGGTGGGTTCTCCGGGGGTTCTCTGGTCTCGTTCCCGTGCAAGGGCCTTCCCTGGGTTTCGTCTGCTCTGTTTGCGTCTGTTGGCGTTCTGCGGGTTCCTGGGTCTTGTCTCCATGTTTTTGTTGGTCGTGTTTTTGTTGACCCTTAGTTTCTCTTGGTTCCTTGGTACCTTGGTCATGGTTCCCTTGACCCTTGGTTCCATGGTTTGTTGGTCTTGGTTCCTTAGTTTCTTGATCTTGTTTTCTGGGTTCGTTGGGTCTTTGAATGATTACTTGTCATTTGTCCGTTGGACCCTCGCCACGCCTGCCAAGTAACGCCGCCCAATGCAAAGCACTGCCAAGCAATGCCCAGCATTTGCATGCAGTATGCCAAGCAGTGCCAGGCAATATGCCAAGCAATGCGAGGCAACATGCCAAGCAACGACACACAATGCGCCCAAGTAGTAGGAAGGAGGCTTTTCCCTAATTTGGGTTGTTCTGTGCTAATCAGATAAGGGGTGGTGTGAGCTTGAGCAAGGCTTCGTCGAGATGCCAAGCTGAGCGCTGGGGCTCTGCGCGCCCATCCCCATAGTCGGATAAGCTTGCCGAGGCGGCTCATCGTCCTCGTCCACCCCTCGACGCTGGGGTTCTCGGACACCCCCGCTTGGGTTCGCGTGGCGGCAGCATCCTTCGAATTATGAGCCCCAGTCGGCGTGTAAGAAAATTTGACTTGCAGGGGTAGGGTTCACTTGTGGTCGCCCACTATCGCAGCTACCGCAATTCACTTTAGTCAAACTATCCGCA